TTTTTAAAAGTACAATGGACAGTAACAAGTATAAAAAATACTTACATTGAACAATATAGGTATAATACTCGACGCCTTTGCTTAAACTGTATAATAAATAAAAAAAAAATCGGCAAATATCTATTATTTCTATTAACATAGCAGTCAGTGCAATTCGAAATTCAAATAAAGTATTCCCGCGACGTGCGTCGGTCATGCAAACGGGCTTCAAACGAGCGAACGAACAAATATTGTCGCAACGATAACGTGTAAACGCACCGCCTTCGGAGGTACTAAACTATGACAAATACGATGCACTGAGAACAGTTAAGGCCAGTGCATTCTGCTTTCAAAAATACTTCACAAAGTCATTTATTTAATTAGAAGAGAAACGAACTTCTTAGCATTCTATCGATTCACCGTACGGATAGTATGGATTTATAATATTTCATATGTGTCCATTAAGAAGTCAGGTGCAATACCTAGGATTGAGACGGGTTTGTCTTTGGAGTTTCGAGTTGAGCCTTCATTTAATTAACTATAATTAAGTATATTGTTAATTTATCTTTTTGTTGAGATCCATCCTTTTTGAGCTCTAACTACTGAAAGACTTAAAGTTCACTTATAATTTTAAAGTACTCTATCATAACGTCGTAATAGTCATAATAGCTTTATTATAACTGTTAAAAATATATTCTCTCTATCGTCCTGTTCGGCGTGTTTCCTGTTAGTTCTTCTCAACCCAAGCCTTTTATAGAAAGATATAAATATCAATCTATTTAAATCCGATTTTTTATATAATCGTAATTTTGTATATAATCGTCGTAAAAATACTATTTATTAAAAAAATTTCTTGGTACTTACATTACTAACATTCTTGGTACTAACATTCGCCTTTTGTACATATGTATATTGTTTGGTCCATAAAATTATTTAGTATATAATAAAATTAATTAATTTGAATTGGAGGAATAACACACGCAGGAATTTCTCAAAATTATCAGAATAATAAGGGAAATGATTCTGATCAGGCGCCTAGGCCTAAGCCGTGTTTAATAGCCAATGGATACTACGCTATGTCTGCCTTCCACTTAACAGATTTCTATTCAAAACTTAATATTTTACTTGAATAATCTAAAAAGCCCATTCCGAAAGAGAATTATCAAGTATGAATAGACAGAGCGTTTTACGTTTCGCCTTCCAAGCTATTGAACAAAATGTTTTACGACAACAATACCGCACTTCCACTTACGGTCGAAGCGTGTTGTCTGTTTGTACTAGGTATCGATAATGCAGGGGACCATGTTTTAGGGTCACCTGCCTTTGCACATCTTTCTCTGTCTTTTTAAGATATTTATTTTTATTATTAGTATTTAGTACCCACGTACCAAATTTAAACTAGTCTTTGTGTACCGAATTTAGTGGATTGTTAAAAAAGTTTATGGCTACTTCAAAATATAAGTAGATATATATATATATATATATAAATACATAGTAAATACCTATTATTTTTACTAAATATTCGAATAGAGGACGTAGTAAAAACTTATATAATTAAGTCCCAGAACAAAACACAGCGCCATCTAGTACGAAACTAAGAAGAGTTCATACTGTGGGTAGTACACAACTATTGTATATATAATGATATAATAACAGATATAATGAATTTTTTATCATTATTAAATAACCAAACCATAAAGATTAAAATAATAATAATATTGTAGTTATTATTTATTCTCTCCCTACAAACGAGCATACAAATAACGATGGACCGACGAAGTGACTCCGTAACGAATAACTAACTATAAACGTTCTCGGTAGTCTAGCTAGGTTTATCACACCGCTTTGCTTCGGATGGTTGCGAGTTCGTTTCCTCGTACGGTACATCATCATCTTCATCATTTCAGCCTGGAGGACGTCCACTACTGAACAAAAGCCTCCTCCCAAGATCTCCACATCGTATAAACATTTCTATGCATTAATATGATTGTTTCTACTGGTCTGAGTGTTTACTATGTATGTGATGTATGTACTTATTTTCAAAAAAATGTTTCCAAGTATTTATATCAATTGTCTAATAGCCATAACACAATTTCTGGGATGAGATGGGGTTGTGTGAATTATTAAGGAATATTATTATTATTATTAACTAAAAACATTTTAAATGACAGTTCGAAATATGAATCAAAATAAAAAATTGTGGAATAAATCTTATGTAATCAATTCATAATTACAAAAAATTGATTCCCCATAATATATACAAAATGCAAACGTTGTTTTGCCATATAACTTATTATCGCTATTAAAAAATAGGGGTTGGTGGTTTTAAAAATTTAAGGCTGTATGTATTTTAATGCCACATAATAAAAATATATCGAAAATTGAAAAAAAAAATTGGGGTGACCCACACTTAGGAGTACAAAGAAATTGGTTATGAACCTATTCTTAGACCTACTACACTACATATAATTCATCAAAATCAGTCAAGACGTTTCGGAGGGGTATAAACACGAAACCTGTGAATTTTTTAGAAGCAATGTCTTACACTACGCTTGCGTACTCGTGGTCGCCACTCTAACGGTTAGTTCTAAGGAAGATATAGACAATCATTGTCTTTATTTGCGGTCGAGTGGTACAAAAACAATAAATAAAACGGTCTGGTTCTATTGACATACGTAATGACGATTTAGTGTAGGCACGTTTTAGTTATATTTAGTGACGTTACGGGCAATAGCCATAGTGTGTACACAGCACTGGTTAGAGCGACCATGTCTACATTGCATAAATTTAAAGATTTGTTCCAGAAAGAACAAACTTCAATAATGACAAATACTACGAACTAATAATGACATATATAGCGGTGCAGTGGTTTACCACGTTTCTTTTCATTGCGATGGTCGCGGCTTCGATTCCCCGCGCAATACAAATATTTGTATTCATGGTTACTTGTTTGTATTCTGGGTGTTTTTTGTATCTATTTAATTACATACACATTTCTATTTTTATGTCAATTGTAAGTAAAACAAGGTTAGTAGTGTAGGTACCATTCATATCACCCTTCCGTAGGACTAAGATTTCATGCTTCATTACCTTAGCTCACCCTTCAACCGAAAGTCATCTTGCAAATAAAACTGATTGTTGGCTGAAATAGGTGAGACAGAGGTACGCAACGACTTTGTATAATTCTGACTTCGTTTTATCTGTTGTTTAGTATGTTCAGATTTTTCGTCATAGCATAGAGGACAAACGAGCTTGCGGCTAACCTCATGGCCATTACCGCCGCCTATGTATCCGTAACAGCAGGATAATTGCAAGTACGTTGCCTTTTGAAGGAATGAACTCTTTTGTAGAAAGTTTTAATATCGTATCGGTACGGAAATACCATTGCTGGAAGGTGATTCCACAATGTGGATCTAATGAGTTTGCCGTGGCGTCGCAATAAGTTCCTGGAAATAAAGCACATGAAGGACCGCCATTAATCCAGATGATTAGGATTTTATTTTAGAGAAACATTATTTACTAATGGTTTTATTAAATAAAACAGAATTAATCAAACACTTATTTTATTATCACAAGAACAACATAACAATACTGTATTTATTATATTAGCTACTCGTAATAATACAAATATATACATCATATAGGTACTTAATTAAGGAACACCTTAGGACGACTGTAACTGGGAGAACTGTAACACAACTTTTATTAACAATGTGTATATTTTGATTGATTCCCTAATATGCCTATTTTTATTCATTTTGTAATAAAATTTGCTATTGTTGTCGTTAAACTTTAGAAGCAATATTAACACTGAGTACATGATATACAGAACAGACTATTTTGAGTGGAAGTGGTGTTAGTAAAAAAACATATACTATATGATATCGACAATATTTTTGGATGTAGCACTCGCTAATTTACTATCAATCTGTATATCACATAATTCACTGGAGTATTATAAGTAACGTTATCACAGTTGAGCTATAAGACTGGATGCTAAATCCGAAAAACGATTTTCAAATATCGAACTCATTAAAAATAACGACATTAATTTCAATGATTGTGATATTACGTTAACATCTCTATATAGTTTGTGATGCTGTTACACACTCGTTTTAAAAACAATAATTCATCTCATTCTGATTAATGAGATTGAAAAAAAAATATTTATGAAATTGGAAAGGCAATGAAGTCGGCCAACTTGATTGTTAGCGGTAAGTAGAAAACGTCATCTATATACGAGGCATGCCCCGTATTCTATAACTACACTGCCAAATGACAACCTGGAACAATACAGCTTAAAAAGCAAGTAGCGACGGCTGGAATAGGTGAGACTAAGTTACCAGGAATAATATGGTAAATCATGCGTGGGGCATGACTTTTACCATCTTATTCCTGGTAAAATAATTCACAACAACTTAAAAAACATTTGCAGTCTGGTATCTCCCATAGCTGACTTAAAACAATACTTACCTCTAAACAATTAATTAGAAATTCTATCACTGGACAATCACATATTCACAACACGTCATCTTACTAATATTATAAACACGGAAGTTTGTGAGTGTGGATGGATGGATGTTTGTCACTCTCACGCAAACACTACTGAATGGATTGTAATGAAACTTTACAGTACACCTTTTACATTAAAATGCCACAGGCTATAATTTTCATGCGGGTAAAACCGCGGGCACAGCTTGTATCTTAATTCTAATCCTAAGCTAATTCTATAGTACACGGTTGAAAGGCAACTTGAGTAATCTTGAAAAACTTTTCTATATTGCACTTTTTTTTATAAATAGCAATAAACTTATTATTGGGTAAATAGAAGTTATAATAGCTATTTTTTTTATATTAACATCAAATTTCATGTAACAACGCTTGATGAAAATGTCAAATTGCATTTATAATAATCACAGAGTAATTGTCTACGTCTCATAGGTGTTGGCACCGCCCTTGGCATTTATATTTTTGTTTTGTAATAATAACTTTTTTTCGAACTACTCTAATGCTGTTGGTTGATAATAATAACTTATATAGGATCATATTTGTACATTTTGGAATTATTAATACAACGTAGAAATTAAAATCTCACCAGATTCCTTCTAAACAACGTAATTATAGATTATTACACCTAACATGTACATATTAACGGGTTCTTGTTGTTACTTTGACCGTATTTAAAAAATAAACGTGTTATATACATATAAAGCCTAATCTGGCCACATATTCAAATAATTATTGTGATGTTCTTCCATAAATAGAATATGAATCCGCCAAAGTACAACTTATTTCTTAAGATCGTTGTATCTATTAATATTAAATGTTTTTTACAGTAAAATGTTACAAAGAAACGAAAATTTAATATGTACCATGTGAAAAGGCCTGTATACGGGCTCATTGTATACCCTAATTTAACAAGATAAAACTTAGTTCGATGGAAATTAAAATCTAATTTTTCTTCTACTCAACCGTAAATATATACGTATGTTCATACAGTATTGAATGATTTCAAACCAATAAAATAAATCGATTTTTAAAAGTACACAAAATCTGTGAATGTACTACTGATAATATTACCTATTACTCATGTCTGGTGAATATGAATGAATATTTTAAAACTCTGTCAAATATTTGACAGTTTCCAGTGCAAAGAAGCAAACATACATAAGGCAATTATTTTCCTCTTTTTAATATAAATTAATAGCTTCCGTTCTTATATCTTTATAAAGGTAGTATATTTTACACATAATATACTATACCTAATATTGGTTTAACTGGGGGAAGGGTATTGTTAGTAATTTAGATGAATAACCCCATTGCCCCCTGGAAACCATCATGATAAAATCATGGTGAATTTATATAGATGGGTTAACTGACCTAACCTCATGCTCATCATCCTCCACTGATGCTCCGCCAGTGTAAACCGTTAGTGTAGGCGGGTGCATTATTCCAATCATCATTTCATCCATATGAAAAATATTGATTTAACTCAAAAATTATTATAGTGTACAGTTCAGTCCAGTAATAAAACAACTAATCAAGCACAATAACGGTGTCTACTGTACTTGGCTCGCCCTGTCAGCTGGCGTGATACAATCCGGCAAGGGCGTCCTGTAGAGCACGCAGGCACGGCAATGTTGAGGTATAACCGCCTGCTTTCTCTGTATCGTTCTCTGCTCTGTGAACAATTGAAAATATTTTGAACACCACAGCATACCATAAAAACTTCATAATAGCATATTAAATAATAATACAATATAATAACTATTTATTGTGCATAAAAACATATGTAAAAAAGAACTTAATATAAATATAGTAATAAAAAGCGGCCTTATCACTCAAAGCAATCTCATACAGACAACCTATTTACTTATTTAAATTAGGCCACTAACAATCCAATGACCAAATGCTTTTATATAGGTTCTGTTTATCTGAACTGAAATTAGCTGAGATTGAGGCAAAACTTTTGTTCATAATTAAACTACGCATATTACTTTTCTTCTAAACAACTTTTATAAGGGGTTGTTATTACATTGATACTGATCTTGTCAAAACCAACATTAACAAGAAAGTTGGCAGAAATTATCATCCATAAGACCTTTTCGATACCACACATTAGTGCTCTAATTAATAAGTATATTGTGCTGTTTGATAAGTATATTGTTAAGAAAAATATGGTACTAACTTCACATGCTGTAGATAACCTTCTTTGACAATTTCCTCTAAGGATGGTGGATCGGGTCCAATTCGATCAGGGGTGATCAGTGGTTCGTATCTGTACAGTGGACCTTCTTCTATGACAGGAATGTGTGACTGCGCCAATCCGCGTGTGAATTTCACACCCGTTGAGAATTGAGTTACCTGAAGATACAGAAATAATAATGTATAGATAAAGTTAAAATATAATAGTTCTTCTTTTAATTTAAATGGCTTCAGAATGACCAATGAGATAAGTGATTTCAGCAATGTCAGGGTTCGAGAGATAATTTTCTATACTATATATCTTGTTATATAACTATATTTTTTACATGCATGACTGGCTCATTTTGAATGAGAATGCTAAAAACATTAAATATTTTTGTTAAGAAAAACTTAATGCCTCAACCATATTACTCTGTAAATGATATTTGAAGTTGAACATGGAGTTGTTCAAACCAGGGATTTTTGATATTGATGTGTGACATGACAATGACATGTGTTATGTATAAATAATAACATATCAAGTCCATTATAAAAGTGACATGGTAGAATTCAATGGCTGAAAAAACATAAACATGTTAAGCTTTGCTTAAAATTGAGATCTGGTAACAAATTAAATAATGATTTAAATATTCAATCATACCATTGGGAGTGGAGGTAATGCTTCTTCTTGTTTAGTGGCTACAGTCTGTGCAAATGTGTTCAATATTTCCTTTGCATCACCATCAGCAAACATCAACTCATCAATAAGTGCCTCCTTCTGTCTAATCTTCTGTTTCTTAGCTTCCAGCTCCGACCTAGCTACTTCTGTGCGACGCAACTCTTCCATTTGTTTCTCTATTTCTAGAATTTCTTCTAACTCTAATTCTTCTTGACCTGTAAATTATAATTTAATAACATAGTTTTAGAATCAAATTGACAACAGCTATATACCAAAGGCCACCAATGGCACATTTTGATTGTTTCATGTATAAAAACCTGCTTACCAATTTTAACCTTATTTTTCATTATTATTTCTCTATTATCCTTTTTGTACTGTTCTATTCGTTTATTAGTATTTACTACATCAATGTTATTTGTTAAATTAAAAATAATAGTCTCAATCTCCTCTAAATAATCATTGTATTCTCTCAATGTTTCAAAATCCTCCTCTTTTTTATTGTAATCCTTGAGTACTCGTTTACGGATGTCTATTTCCTTTTCTATCATGGGATCCTCGAACATTTGAACTCTGAAGTTGCTCCTTCTGAGTGGGACATTGCACTCGGGACATGATCCTGAACCTGAAAAATTATTAATAATGGGATGTAGTCATATTTATTTTATAAGGTTTCTTGTAACTTACAAAAAAAGAAAATCATGTTAAACTATTTATAGAGACTTCGTCTTCTTTTTTTATAAATCGTATCTACTCAATCTTCGTGAGGTAAATTTTATGATATATTTTTTTAGGATTTATATTATATTCAGATGTCTAGGCGTGATAAGATAATAAACAAACAAACAGAGACTTTTGGATTTATAATATAGATGTAATATATAGTAACCGTTTACCATCAGATGGGCCACATATAAAAACTTTTAGTTCAAAGGACCGGTTGTATATATATTCTATGATTTCTCCAATATCTAAAATTAAAACTAAATAACTACAAGTGTTGTTTATTTATATTAAACACGAACAATACCTTTTAAAAACAGTAAATCTACACAACTTTCGCACAACGTGTGACCACATACGTTTACCATCAATTTCAATGATGGGTTTCTGTATTTTGTTGTTTTACATCGAGGGCATGCTTGATCATCCATGTTTATTGATACTTATATGTTTAAATATAAATCGAAAGACAATTGATGATATTATCAAGAGAAATTAAGTATAAGAGAAAATTGTGTATTCAGCTTGATACCGCGTTTATTATACACATTTTTTGTAGGCTGTCAGTCAAAGCAGTCAGTCAGTCAGTCAGGAATCAGTGTGTATCAGAACATGGTATAACTAATCACGTGTAAGTATTTTTCCATTTCAACCAATGACGTTGTTTAATGAAATGTCAGTAGTAATTACTTAAATTGTCAATTTTATTTTATTGGTGACATAGTGACTGACGTGTATTCGTATATGAAAATATTTTAATAAATATACAATTATTAAAATCAGCTTTTTTCATGATTTACATTTGATTTTCTGTGTTATTTATTAAAAGACTAGTAGCATAATATGAATTTAGCTGTAAGGCAAGTCCTAACACGTCAAACTTTTAGACTATGTGATAAAGTTACATATAAATGTTTACCAAAACATCTTGCCGTAACCTCAACAAACAATGTTACACAATTTCGGAATTATAGCCAAGATACAAGCGATACCAAGAAGTTACCTCAGTTAATGGAGTTTCCACCGATCGTTTGGCCATCTTTTATCAAATTTATTAAGAACTGGATGTTTGCAAATTTTATAATCCGCCCTTATTTTGAGCAGGAATTTAGTCTTGGCGAATTCATCGAGGCTTCCAAACACGCTGTTCAGGTTCAACTGCCTTATATTTTTTATATGCTATCATAGATAAAAATGATCAAATACCATCTAATTGACGGAAGAATAATTCAACAATTTTGAGTAAAATAATTTCATGAAATAACTAACCTGGTATACATTGCATACTAGCAATAAATTGTTTCCTTGACTGATAAATCACCATTGAGATTGTAGTTTAGTCATTCTACCTCAAAGCTTAAATAATCATCATCAATCATAATTTTTTATATTGTTATTTCTACCGTCGAGTTCAATTCAATTGAGAAGAACTGGCAAGAAATTAACTTTTTTTTTACATTGTTTTAATCATGATATTGAATAATATTCTAATCAGTGTTATTTAAAAAGATAGGTAACTAACATCTCAGGCAGGTTGTTTCAGATGCCTTACAAAGGAGTGATTTCAAGTCACTTGAAGGTATAGTAGAAAAAGATGCCATTGCTGCATTAAAGACTGCTGTTTCCAAACTCTCCGTGTCTCAAAGACAACTCCTAGCTATAGAGAAGGAAGATATTTTTTATGCTTTTCCTTATCAGGTAATGTTTGCATGCAATACTGTCATAACATATTGACATACCAATACTAGACATAATTGCTATATATATATTGTTGCAATTATATATATACCTACTTTGGTTGGCAATTACTGATATTACATTATGTTCAATATTGAGATATGCCTATCTTAGCATTTGAAGTTATCCAATTGATGACATGTTAAATGAACATGTCACAGGTTCAATTCCTCACATGACACAAACACTTGGTTTCATGAGTATAATTTTTTGTATAGGTCTGTGTTTTTTCTATGAATAAAATGTATGTGTTTACTAAAAAAATATAGATTTTTTTAGTAAACACATACATTTTATCAGTTATCTAGTACCCATAACACAAGTTCTAGCTAGCTTAACTTGGGTCTAGTTGGCACTATGTGAATTGTCCTGAGATTATTATTACTATTATTGCAATAACAGGATTACTATTATCTAATAATATTAACATTCTTACTTTATAGTCTTACTATACTAGTAAGACTATAAAGTAACAATGTTAATGTTTTTCACAAATTATATATATATTGATTTTAGGTGGGTGTGATGTTTGATGATGCAGATAAACGATGGGTGGAAATCACTATGTGCTATCATGTACTCAAAGGTCTAAAACATATGCAAGAAACTGGGGATTTGCCTCCAATTTCTATAGGGTAAGTTGTCATATTTGTAATGAATAGAAAGAAATATAATTGTATTGTCAAATAATAAATTCATCAATAAAATTAAATATCTAAGACTAATATTTGTCAATGTAATTAGACAAAATTAGACCTCTCACAGTAAACATTGTCTGTCTAGGAATTTACTTCTCCATATTCCTGCACATATTCAAGCTTGAAGCACAAGCTCGAAATCCTTTACTTTTACACATGCTATTAAACACTGGAACCTTGACATCAAATCCAGCACTTCCAAATTCATATTTAAATCACGCAAAAAATTAAAATTAAATTAAAAATTACGCAAATACCTTTTCCAGAACTAGAGTAATTCCTGTTATTACAAATTTGAATAGTATTATTCCACTACACCACCTACTATACACATCTGACTTTGACTGTTGACTTCTATAAATATACAATTGTATTTGTATGTAGTTTTGTTTGTAAATATAGTGTACATGTATAATTATTTATTAATAGTATGGACTATATGTATGGTCACTTATGTATTGTACGTTTAATCACATCCAAAATTATCTTTTGATTTATGAACTCTGATTGGATTTGTTACGTCCCGCCTTATTTCGAGATCATTGCCGTAGCAATATACACGCCAATCAGATTGGGAACCGTCTGTGTGTATGCCCACCATAAAGATTATTTCTTGAAATTGTATTTATTAAAGATTTTGTTATAGGACACAACCTGAGTATCAAGATAAAGTATTCATTTTAAACTACAGATTTATTAGAGAATTCACAAAAGGAGTCGAGGACAGCTGGTGGGTGAATATAGTAAATCATTTCCAACCACATTCACTCATAAGAAAATAGGTGGATAGTAAATGAGTACTTGACAAGTCATGCATGTTTAAGTTTACAGAGTCAATATAGTAAGATTTAAATAAAAGGCAGTTAAATTGTTAATAATATTGTTTTATTTTTATGTTTGTGTAAAAAATCTAGTTTTATATCATACTATAACAGCGTTAGTTGTAAAGAGCAAATCAAGCTAAAAACCAATTATATTGTTCATGAAACTAAACAATTTCCATAAGGAGCCGAAACGGAAAATATAAAATACTAGCACTTATAAAGTGCGCTGTGATGTAATCAATTTAGTAGGTACTAAACGTTCCGAATTTGTTTTCATACCGCTTAATTTCTTAGTGAATTTTGTTCAATTTTATGAATATAGAATACTTGTACATGGTTTTCTGATTGATATACTCTTTAAGACTAATGTATAAACACACTAATACATTTTCATAGTATATAATAATAGTACTAACTATTATTATAATCACATTACTTAATATATCACCTCTAGTAAAAATAGTGAATGTCTGTACATAAAATTTTATTATGCACATAGCTTAACAACAAATAAATAAACTTTGTATGTACTTTAAAAGGCATGACAGTAATCTTTGTAATTACTTAAAAATTCTTTTAGTACATTTAGAAGACTAACTTCATCACCTGAAACAAATGAATTGTAAATTATAATAATTTATAAATATTTGCTATCTGGGAAGTGAAGGAAAAGCGGAAAATTGGTTAATGTGCCAGTCAATTTTAGGCAAAATACCTCTGTCGTAAAAAAACGATAGAGTTTACAGAAACCACGATGCTATAAGAACCTATACTAATAGGCGCCTTTACGATAGCCGTTAAACTAAAACAAAGGATGTGTCGGCTGTGATAAACTTATGCATGCAGGAACTTTATGTAGTATAGAAACTGAAGGCTTGTTTCTGTCCATGTATTATTCTCCTTACTTCTAAGAGTGGGGTCCGATTAGCAGGTTACTGATACTGTAAACTCACTTTAAACCACCAAACTGAGATTTTCTTCTGGCTAATATATATGTATAATACATGTATTTATATAGTTAAATGATCTCTCTCATACACATTGTACTAGTATAGTATTGAATAAATATCACATTATGTTAGGACAAAAAAAATTAAAATATTTGAAATATTTATATTTATTATATATGGCAATCATTTTCCTTATCTACTCTATTACTAGACAACTAATAAAACTTATTATGATCGGAATGCACGAACCTGTTGTCGGATCATATAAAGATCTTTTCTCAACACCCCATTGGACTTTTATTGGTCTTTGCTTCTTGATCGATAGCTCAACATCTAAAAAAGAATTTATAGTTATTATTGGCATCAACTATTAATTATTCTGTAAGTAAAAAACAACTGGTTCACAATATGGGTGTCAGCATACATCTATACTGAACCTTATAATATGATCGATGGATACGACTTTAGTCTGAGGAGGATCGTCGTCTTTTCGATCCCCGTTTGAATTGGACAGGGATCGATCGGAGATGATTCTTATGTATATTGTATAAATATTTACATAAAAAATTAAAAATCTCAGTATTTATATCAGTAGTCAGCCAGCTAACTAACACAAAATCTGCCTAGCCTTGGGACTAGATGGCGCTGTGTGAATTACCCTAGGTTATATTATTATATTGTACACTTACCTCCATGTACTGTATCCAGTAAGCTGTTTATATCAAGATTCTCCCCTAACCTTGTACATAGGGCATTCACATACTGACTTCCACCGGGAACAATTCTTGCTGAATCACCTGCCTTCAACTCGTAAGTTTCATCAATAGTGGTAGAGCATTCTATCTGCAACACTTCATAGGCTGCTTGTGCAGACTGAGTGGAGTACCCTATTAATAGATTTTTGTGAACATTGTAGGATTCTACTGTAGATATGGATGTATAGATTTGTGGATTTGTATTCCTGTCATGAAAAATATATATTGTTAGGACAGGTCCCATCATATAATATATAATTAATTCAATACATGTTTAATCTATTATATTTACATTACTATGTAAATTAAATAATTTCTATCTATCCAAAATATCAATAGACAACATATATATTCAATGAAGACTTAAGGATGATATATTAAAACCTAAAGCTATATAAATACTTTCACATTATTTTCACCTTTGAAAATTTTGAAAAATATGTAAAATCATTAATGATATTTTCTGATTTTATTTTGCAGAAGTGTTAGCTCCTAGATAGCTATTTACCTGAACATTTTAATTAATTCCACCATATAGTTGAATACATTAGAATAGAATAGGAATTGTTAGTGATGTGACCCAATTACTCTATTGCTAGCGATGTACCAAGTCAATTTGGCCTCCGCATGGTTGCACCTGGAAACTATCGTGATAAATTCCTGGTGAATTTGTCATGATGGTCAAACTGATCTGACTTCATGCTCCTCCTGTCATCCTACAGTGTAAGCCTGTTGGCTGCCCTGCCAGTGAAAACTGTTAGCCGAGGTGGTAACATCATACTATAATTATAAAAAAATCACATGCAACTTACCTATCTAAATTTATCCTACACATATCCATAATTAAAATACAAAGATCAGGTTTGCATTTGTTAACTTGTTCTAGAACAAAATTCTCAGTAATACAGTGTTCCAACTGTATGTCTTCTGTGGGACAGTCTATACCCAGCATGCACTTAGTGTTTACTAACTCACAACCATGTCCAGCATAGAAAATGAAACCTGAAATTGAAACATTCAATGTATAAGTATTATGTATGCATATGCATATAAGAATAAGCATATGTAGATATATTTAATCAGATTCAAAGTATTACTACTAGTCCTACCTAGTTCATTTTGATAATGCATTATCCCCATGAATTACTGTTTGCCCTATAGTCGACTGGGAGAAAATTCCTCTAGATGTTAAGTCCACCCTGTGGTCCTTTATGTATGTGTACATGGAAGTTTTAATAAATAGATATACAGGATTGAAAACAAGCTTGTTAAGTGGCACTAAAATCTTAACTTTGCAGATGTTTCAGATGAACTCATAGTTTCATATTTCATTTATTTTTATATACATAAACAATATCATGTTGTAATATGACACCCATAAATGGTAAATTTCATGCATTACTATTTTGGAGATATAAAGTGTCATACCTTTGTTTCCTGTAATTTCACTGCCTCATCTGTACAGTATCTGTCATATCAGAGCAAAGTAGAGTAGACCAATCCATAGCATTGTAAGCTATATCTTCTGTTCGCTGCAACACTGGGAATGTTACCCATAAAATGATGCATACTTTATTTCTCTTATTAACTCAGGGAATTCTGTACAGTTACACCAATTATAGATTTTAATAAAATAACTGGGAGAAAATAACTAAATTAATTGAGAGACAATATTATATATTATCTCTCAATTAATATAAGTATAAATTTAAAGATATGTTATATATATAATACTCACAATATGAATCTTCCGGGATGCAACTAAATATTTTTGACAATATTTCTCTCAAATCACAGCTGGCTGTGTTTTTTATTGTCACAACTATAAACCCTAAATTCTTCAGGTTTGAAGACAATGAATCACAATCTATAGATGGTGTGGCCAGTTTTGCTAAGTGTGTGTATTTGTCATTCGCTATAAGTATGGCAACTTTTGAATGAGGTCTGTAGTAGATTGCAATCGGCCTAATACTCAATGCAGCTTGTTTTAACTTTCTGAACTTTTGCACAGTACATCCACCTCTGTATAACATTTTCATTAACAGTTCTCCAGGTTTATTAGTATCATCAAATGATATTCTGTGAACACAATACAATTTTTCTTGAATACCTTATCATTATAGAAATAATAGCTACTCACCCTGGCTTCACATGGGTGTATATATATTATATATATATAAACCTTCCTCTTGAATCACTATCTACTAACTGCTTCAAAATCTGTTGCATAGTTTTAAAGATTTAAGCATACATAGGAACGAACAGCATCAGCTACTTTGTTTTATACTATATAATGATTTATAGATCAATTTAATAATTTTATAGTATAGTATTATTAAAAACAAGTGGGGGAAAAGGAATCATTATCACAGGAGCTCCAGAAAAACCTATACATATAGACAGCGCGAGCTAACATTCAAGTCATATATAACAGTATTACTTACAAGTAGTTTTAGAACTCTTTTGCATTCTAAACTAAAAGTTAGACATCTAGTTTAGTCAGAGCGCAAAAACATGAAGATTACTATGGGCGACACAGTACGTTATCGCGATGCCATTGATAGTTTTCATAATAGAAATAAAACATACAGATTATTACATTGTGCTACTTAAATAACATATTTAACCTTTATATTGTACTATTAATAACATAATAAATTATACTCACTTCATATTAGCCAATTTAGCAATAATTTCACATTGCTCCCTATTAAATTTTAATGCATTTTGATATTCTGTATACGGCAAATTTTTAACATGGGATGTCTCAATTTCTTCTTGGTTGTTTGGCATTGCCACAAAAAATTTAATTCTATAATTATTAAATTATTGTAGTAACTATAAGCATATGATTATATCGTATGTATTATAAATAAGTAAGAATAATTTATTTTAAAAATAAATAAGGAAAAACAAACAACTTTTTATTGTTTTTGTAAAATATAGAGACATGATTCAAAAATTTACAGAGACTTACAACATTGACGTCAGTCAGGATTCAGTGAAGTCATATTATTTTGTCAGTCACATGATGTGGGGAGAAAAAAAACATTTATTTTGGAGAAATAATAACAACACTCAATGAAAGATAAAAATTTGCGGTCTAAAAATGCGACAAAGATAATATGAATGTCAAAATCATAGTCGAGGTATACTATAATTTTGACATTCATATTATCTTTGTCGCATTTTTATTTATTTTATTATTTTATTTATTTTATTTTCTTGGTATAAAGAAAAATTGAATAGTTGAACACTCGTAACTTAAAAAAAATATGAACACAAATAGAGCAACATTAATTGATTAAAAAATGGGCACTACTAATTTAATTTATTGTTTCGTCCGTTCCTGTATTGCTGTTATTTTTTTTTACAGCTTGAAATTTAGATTGTGCTAAATTTGGGTAGGTTTGCTATACCTACCCAAATTTGTACCTACCCTAATTGTTAGTTGAGAACACTGTACGAAAAGTCTGCCTGAGACGAAGAAAAGAATGTCACTACGTCAGTAAATTACATCAATCAAAGTGTAAGTTCAATGTCAGGTCACATGTAGACTGAATTAAAATGATTTACTCTGTGCTGTTGCCTAATAGAAATTTCGAATAAAATAACATTAGAAATATGGCTATTGGTGTTGATACTTCGAAATGGAAACCTAGAAAAATAGTTGGAACACCAGCTGCTAAATTTCGAAATGCTCTTGGTGTAGGCACAATAACAATCGGATTAATATTTGGATTAATTTTCACGTTAGTTTTATCATTGTGTTGTTATCTTATATAAGAAACTGTGCATTGAAGGTTATAATGTCTGTATTTTTACTGTTATAGATACATTCCTGTAACTAAAAACCTGAGAAAGGCTACTGAAATCCTATATGAAGATCCTATCGAAGAAGTCGAAAGAAAGCAAATGATTGCCAGTGGTTTATTCAATAGAACAGCCACCACAATACGAAAACTAATTGAGGAGTCTGAAAGGCCAGATAGACCAGATAATTAGTTTCTAATGAATATAAGTAATTATTATAGGTAGGTAATATGAAAGATTTAATTGTTAAATGATTAAAAAGTAATATATAATATATTTTGTTTTATTTTTCCCAGCTATGAACATATCCAATGTAAGGTGACAAGCAAATACTTTTCAAGTTGTGGTATGGATGAAAGCTTGTCAGACTTTCAAGAAAAGAAGAAATGTTTTGAAGCTGTAAAAATACAAAAAACTATAAAAACAAGAAAGAAACAACCTAAACTGATCAGAGGCCAAAGAAAAATAAAATCTTTACTGAACACTAAGAAAAATGAATTAGTTTCTTACTCGAAGGACTTTGATAATATTTGTAAACAATCAGGCATAGATGTTGACCCTGAACAGTTACAACTAGCAGTGGCACTATCGAAATCACTTCAACCTGTAGACAATACTGGACCATCAACTAGTCAGTTGAACACGCAAGGTAGAAGTGCTAAAATTCGATCAACTTTACAAGAGTATGGATTTTCAGTGCCTGTGATTAAAATATCAAATCCTAACAAGAGATTAAAGAAAATAAGGAGAAATTACAAACTATTATTATCAACGGATGCAGAGAAACAACAAGTAATTACTGATAAATATTCACAAGTTTTGTTTGAAAACATTGATAATAACAAAAACTGTTCAAGTAATTGCTATAATGATTTTTCTGATGTACATTTATATTACTTGTCAACAAACGCTGCATATAATGACATAAGAAGTAATGATGTATTTTATGTTTCTAACTTAGCAATAGAGAAATCAACTCCTGTTGGTTCCTTGCTAAAGGATTGGTCAAAAATCCCTGGCAGACCTATAAGCCCTAAGCCCTGTGAAAATAAAAAAATTGATACAAGTAAAATTCTGTGTTCTGAAGATGAATTGGATATTATTCTTAGTGGATCATTAAAATGTGCTCAAAATATTGTTAGTAGGGCTAACAGAGTGCTTAGTACAATGACTGATATAGGAGAAACCGACTGTTGTACAAATAAAGCTAATGAAATTAAAATTAATTTGATTGATGAAACAAAAAGTGAAATGAAAGAAACAAGTGTGATTTCTAATATAGACTTAGTTGATAATGAAAATATTAGAATATTAAAAGTATCACAACCAGTAAGAAGTTGTTCTCCAGATTTATTTGATGATGACACAGTATCATTATGTAGTGATACAAATGAAGTAACTATATTGAAATCTCTAAAAACTGTACATAGTAAAACAAATGAGGATATTATAGAAATAATAGATTGTTCTCATTATGTAGCTGAAGTTAAAACCTTAAATACAGTAGCATTGCCAGTTATCAATTGTACATCAAGTTCACAATCATCTCAAAAAACTGATAATTTAACTAGGAAGTCATATGATCCTATGGAACTTACTGAATGCATTGCATTAGAAGATAATTTCATTCATAATGAAAATAAGTCTAATATACTGTTATCAAGTTTAAGTAATATTACAAAAAGAAAATCTAATGATTTTATGGACCTAACAGAGTGCCTTGCACATTATTCTGAACCCAAATCAGTACTTAATGAGAATGAGATAGACTTAACTCAAAATTATAATAATAACTATGATATAGATAGGATAGATAAAAATGTAATAAATGATGATGTATCTAATAATGTTGATTTGACGCAATCATCAAATTCCAATGACAGTTTACCCTTCGTCCAAGTTAGTGGTAATGTTGATAAATCATGTGATTATACAATAATTTTAAATAATTCTGAAATTAGTCAATCGCAAACAAAGAAAAAGAAGGAAAAATCAACAGATAATATAGGAAAGGAAAACCTTAGTTTGGTTCCTGAGGTACCAGCCAAAATGGACAATAAATTGGCAAATGAAAGTTTTTTCAAGGATTATAATTACAATCATTCAGATGATGATATAAAATGCAATAGTGACATCTATAATAATAAATTTGACACTGATGATTTAACACAAAGTACAGATTCTGAAGAATGTAACAATGAAGTCAACCATAATAATGTTCAGTCTTCATATAATAAAATCAATGATGAAAATATCCATGAAATGTCTATTGACTATGACAATGTTTGTTTAGATAACAATATGCATATCAACCGAAAGATTTCTACTTCAAACGACAGTAGTTTAAGTAATTCTCATATTCATGCTATAGCTGGTAAGTCACCTGAGAAACAAGAAATTCAGTCTAGTCAGAATTCTGAGGCTTTCGAAATTTCTGACAGGGAATTAGATTATTCCCTTCATAAATCTAGATATGATGAATCAATAGATATAAATTTTCCAAACTTGTCAACTATGAATATTGTATCGAATAACACAAAAAATTATATATCTGATAATAATGAGACTCAGCTAGTTACTTTAAACAGATCTATGAGTGATAGTTTTCTACCTGTAGTTAATATTAAAAGAACAATTCAAGATGCAGATACATTTCAAACACAACCATGTAATTCTACACAAAGTACTCCAGAGAAAACAAATACTACTGCTGCTACATTAAGAACACCTACTAATGATGATTACATTGTAAAAGTACAGGAAGTTACACCAAGATTGGATTATGCATCTATGACAACTCCAGAAAGAAACCAAGAACTTGATAAATATGGTTTAAAGCCATTCAAAAGAAAAAGAGGTACAACAAATACTGTATAAAATAAATATGATTAATTTATTGATACATTTAGTTCTTTCAATTTATTAATTGCACTTTACTTTCCAGCTATTCAACTTTTAACACATATTTATAATCAGACTCATCCTGTAATAGCCTCTTATGCAAATGAAGAATTACCATCACCATCAAAAAAACGTAAAACAGACACAAACAATCCACATTCTGTTTCACCGAAAAGATCTCCACTGAAACCAGCTAAAACTCATGTTGAAGATGTTAAAGAAAACATCTACCAAATAACAAAAGACATACCGGATCTGAGAGAAATAGAGTGTAGTTCTGAGGATTGGGTATTGCAGAAAAAAGAAAAGGCCAGGGTGAGTAAATTTCTCAAGAATAATTAATTACCAATTAACTTAAAAACGATAAACAATTTAATAATAATAATCTGAACAATTCACACAGCACCATCTAGTCCTAAACTAAGCAGAGGTAATGTTATGGGTACTAGACAACTGATAGAAAGACTTAAATACATTTATTTTGTGAATGCATACATAATATACACAGAAATACATGTATTTGTCTGATGTAAATACATGTATATTTACAAATGTTTGGATTGTTCGAGGAATCGAACCCGCGACAATGATCGTTTGTATCAGTCTGGGTGTTTTCTGTGTATATTACATATGTATTTGCAAAAAATAAACAAGTATTTACATTTGTCTAGTACCCATATCAGAAGCTCTGCTTACCGTGGAACTAGATGGCGCTGTGTTAATTATCGAGGGTTATTTATTCATTTAATTATTTATATATAATTGAAATATTTACAGGTGCATTCTTCCAGAGTCCCTCTTCATATAGCGTTCAATAACTACCTGTCTTGCCGGCGAGGTTTGCGGGAGGCAATATTACGATATGAACCCGTCAATATAGATATTATACATAAAGAATTGGTGGCGTGTGGGCACAGATATGATGCAAAGGTACGACATGTTTTTACATGTTTTGACTATCAACCTTATTTGATTTTTTGACATATAGTTAAAGAATAATTACTAGACCTCTAAGTATGAAATGCTAAAAAACATAAATCCTTTTGGTATCGACTTTGATGTTACACTATAGCAGGGCTAGCTCGAGTTGTCTATTAATAGATACCGGACGTACCCTGCTCTGTGTTCGGAAACTAGCGGTACCGGGCTGGCTACCTAACGGTGCGTTTCGGAGGATTGCTATATTAATATCCAGCACAATCTTGAAAGTTGAATTCTTAACTTAGAAAGTAAAAGAAGTCAACTTACCATCTGGAAATGTTTACTTTTAAAATAGAGTTTTTTTCTTATTTCAGGATCTTTTGAGATTTATGGACAAGAGGTGTATAACAGTCAAAACATCAGATAATAATTCCAGGAACAATAAGAAATAACACATATCTGTTGTATTCATTTTGTGTAGCATATCTACATTAACATTAAAGAGAAGAGAATCTTAATTGTGTTTATAGGAAGGGTAACATAACCTGACTATATGAATAAAAAAAAGGGCGCCACAGGCCGGTTCCGATGGGCATGGCTTATATATATATGATATGCCCTAACTCTAATCAATACAAATAAAACACACATATGGGTAGTCAAAGGATCATTATTTTATTTTTTAATTATGGTTCTAACTCTATTTCAATGCATACAGTCGTAACTGTAAATAAATGGGAATTTGAATTATCTTTTCCTAGATCATTATCTCCTACTATTTAATCTGGACATTTAATCAACCTAGGAAAATGGAGTCCTTTATTTACCAATAATTATAATTGATTATTTATACTCATTAATGCAATTTTTATTAGTATACTTAAAACTTATTTAATATTATCATGGCAAATTTAAACTAGTATATAGTTGAATCATTGTTTTATTTTAACAATTATGGTTATATTTACGTGTCACATTTAGGAAAACAATTTAAATAATCAGTAATACAAAATAATATAACTCAGCATAATTAATTACACAATAGTAATTTATAACTTATCTAAAACAAAACTACGAGTATAGTATATAATAATTATCATCACCTGACATTTATATTTATTACTATAGGAGATTTACTCCATAACCAGAAATTTCATGTTATAGTAGTGCAGACAGATTTATACATTACAGAATTACTGTCATTTATAATCGAAATTATGACCTTAACTTGGTAAATTATAATAACAATTATTATATTGTAGTCAATGTCATAATTTCAATGCAATTTTTTTTTTTACAAAAAAATGTAATTTTAATTTCATCCATAAGCAAATACATATTCTGATCATTTTCTAATGCTAAAAAATTAAGTTGATTAAATGCCTTATCCCATATTTTTAGTAACACTTCAGCACTAGCTAAAGTGATACTAAAAAAGTGTATATACACAGTAAGTTATATATGAACTTAAATATCGAATTATGAAGATTACAACTAGTATAAAATAAACTATTAGAAAAGTATCACAATATTTTCAATTTTAATCACTATACTACTTTACTTACTCAAATCTATATATTATAACCGATGTTTCAATAAACAAATTGAATTAAACGTTTAACAGTTATACTACACGTTTCAACTGGTAATTGATATTTGATGATGAAAAAACATTAGGGTTATCTGTTGCTACTCCTTCAAAATTAAATTATTAATGTCTGTGATAGGTGATTAAAATAACCGTCTAAAAAAAATGCCAGTTGCAGTCGAATTCCTTGCCAGTTCTTCTCAATTGAAGTAGGCAGCCGAATTGGTAGGGTAGTGATAAAAACGATTTTCCGTACTCCTAAATTTTTTTAAAATTCTCAATGTAATTAAATTCTTAACCATGAAATTTTTGTCATTTCGACTCCTCTGACCTAAATTTTTTAGAATATATATAATGGGATTATTTGATCTAATGTATTTTAATATAAGTACAAAGAATATGCGAGATAATCATTGATTTGAAAAACCTCCATATATAAGAATATCTATGCAGCGATGTAAGACTGTCAGTATCTTTATCATTTTAATGGTATAACAGAGTGCTGTGCAAAAATATAATGATTATAATTAGGCTATTAAATGTACCTATACTATAATTCTTGATACGAATGATAAATTTAAACCTCTTATTCTTGTCTAAGGTCTTTACAAATATATTTAGGACAGTTATAAATATAGATCTTATATGGATCTAGAAAATATGTCAAAGTCAGAACACAGCTAAGGCACTAGTGCCGAGATTTTTATAAGAGTATTGCAATTATCTACTTGCAGTTGAATGTCATTTCTTTAGTAAGCCAGCTTGTTGAATAACCTGTCTGGTTGCGTTGTTTATATGACGAAACCTGTCTGGACCTAGTTGGATCCCTCCATACCTGTAACATTGAACATAATTAGAATATACAAATTTTTAAGTACCTAAGCCTTGAATCCAAACCTCAATAAATTGCAATTAAGAACCAACCCGACCATATGATACCAAAGACAGACAGTCTGTGGGATCGTAACTCCTATATGAATGAGCCAACATTGGAATAATTTATTTGTTTAAAAGCTGTTCAAATAAAAAATCGCATCCTAATTGGTTCATTTAGGAGTTATGATACCATAGAATGATAAACCACAAACTTATAACACTTCTTGTTAATTTCGTAGTGTTAAGGATTAAAAAAGGATAAAAATTTCTCCACTTTTAGACGATTTTAATCATCCTGGATGTAATTAAAAATACATTTAATCAAATGTATAAAAATAACTAATAAAATTCTAATGAACCCACGAACAATTGCGCCGTAGTGGCCCCATTTAATACATAACTAATATATATGTATAATATATAAAAATGATCTCACCATCTTGAAACCATAACAAATGTGTTTTTCTGGTCTAATATCTGCAGCAAATGCAGCATCCTGCCACCAGCGTGAGCCTCACCATCATCATTACAATCTTGCAACATAGTTGTACCTTTATCTGTCTTCTTTTCAATACGGTATGCATACATATTGTGGGTTGCATTCAACACTTTCTTGTTTTGTTTTAATTTCATAATTGCGGCACTAAAAATGAAATATACCATTTAAATATTTAATGAAATTACAAAGGATATTATTGTTAAGTTAAAAGTTTAAGACTCAATTTAAAGTAGTTGTGCCAAAATTAAGGGATTTTTAAGAAAGGTATATTAGTTTCTTTAGAAACAGAAATGTTCATGTGACACCCCTAGTGTTTCATGCATCCATAGGTAACCGTTTACCATCAAATGGCCCATATGATTGCTACCACTGTGTTATAAAAAAAAAACTATTATATAAAAACAATATAGATTTTATATCATTTCATATAAGGTTTTATTGGTGCACAACAAAGTATTACAAATGAAGGAACAACATTCCTTGTGTTAAAAGTAGCTAATACCAACACTGTTTTTTTTTTCTATACTAAAAAGTTTTTTGTTACATACTTGACTTCCTCGATACTGTGTACTTCAGCTGCATGACCCTGGAATGAGCTCTTTCTGTCTGCAATTACTTCACCATGTGTTAATTCAGGGCAATTTATCTCCAGCTGAAATTATAAAAATTCAAGATCAATATTACATAATTTGATTTATTTTTATACATGGTAATGGAATGGTTTATCCTGTGCCGATGGTTTTTACTGGCAGGACACCAATGGAGGATAATATGATAGGATAAAGTCAGCCTGTCTGGCAAATTTATTAGTAATTAACCAGGTTTCCAGATGTGACTGTGTGGAGGTGAATCTGACATGAATTATTGTCAACAAAGGGTATTGTTACTAACAATACACACATAATTTGATTAAAATAATAATATAATATGGAATATACAGATACTAGTTCTAATTGACTGATTGATCTAACCACATGTAACCTAAAAGCTGGAACATTGAAAAATGTAATATCAATTTCTGCTTGAAAGATCAAAGAAAGAATTTTTATTGAATTGTATGGGTCTATACAAATCTCTTTTATATTTTTATTAGCTTTCTGAGTTTATAGAAATATAATTCATATCTTTAATGTTCTTTATTGATATCTGAAACCTGAATAAATGTCTTTATTATTATTATTATTAAACCCTTTCTGATAAGGTTTATATTCAGTTGAGGAAACATCAATATAATCCTAGAGATAGCAGTAAACTCAGAGAAGTGTACTACCATTGGCAAGGATGCCTCATTGAATTCATATACACAGCAAAATGCAGGTATACATTCACCACAATGGTAATCCCTCTGACTACCCCAGTTAGGATTTAAGACAGTATGTTGTTTGTATTCAAACTACCAACCTGTGACATATCTAAGGACTCAATAACCGGTGCAGTATTCTGTTTTTCATTGGCAAGAGATTTCATACTTTGTAATACTTCTCTTACTTTCTCTACCCATTGGTAAACTACTGTTTCTCCAATATTTTCCCTGAAACAATCACGCCAACATAAACAAATAATGCTTTTGCAAATATAATAAAATAATTTGTCTTATATATAAATAAATAATAAATGAGATAATATCTTTTTGTTTCAGTCCTTTTCACAACTAAAGAGAGATTAACAGATTTTAATAAATTTTATCACAAGGATGGACATAGGTTATTTTTTATCTGAAAGATGAGGTTGCATGTAAAGGTAAGTAATTACTATTTTACAGTACATACTTACAAGTATACCTCATCTAAAGAATTATGAAGATTTTCTTTTGCTTTCCTATCCATCCACGGCGCCGACAACTCATATTTAGGTGGTGATAACGTCGGGTATTCCGGTGGCATTGTCACATATAACAATGCCTCTTTTTTATTTTCTTCAATGCGAATACAATATGATTTAGTTATGTCGCTCTCTGTGGTCCAATCATCTCCATAAATAGAACTCAGTGCTTCAACCTCCTCAGCCTGTGCAATATATTAATAAAAAAATTTATTACAATGCCACTAGTACAATAATTACTAATACAATACCAAAATTGCAACATTTATATGTGGTTTAATTGTTATTATGAAATTATTAAAAAGGTATTTTACCTGTTTCGTTAAATTATCTGTATCCATGTTATTTCTCGTAGTAGTTGCAACAGTTTTATATTTTAGACTATTTCGGTCTATTTCTTGTAGTTTCACACACGAGAATGACCACGAATTCCTACGCTAAAATTAGCTGAAAGGAAATAGTATAATAACGCTATTGTATTATGTATTCCACTTAAAACATAAAGTATACAGACAGAACCATACATTGTATTGTTTGTTTAAATAATGTGGGGGATTAATATGCAAACATGAAATATTATTAATATATTGTCAATTGAATCTGTCACTGTCTCCTGAAAGAACTTTTTTTTTTTTTTATTAAGTATTTTACGGCCTTGGAAATCTCCTTTCAGCCAAACAATTACATTTAACTATATCTTTAGCATTATAATCTATAGCGTTCTTATTGTATTGTGTATAAACTCGTATAAAAATGGATAACTTTCTGTATTTTGTAGGATAGATGGCAAGAGGCGGGGTACTTCTTTTTTATTATATAAACTTATTAAGCCATCTATCAAAATAAGTCTCTGCAAACCAAATGCTGGACATTCCATTATAATATGTTGTAAATCGGCATTTTCTGCTGTACAGTAGTCACAATTTGAAGAAGATCTCAATTTTATTCTATGCAAATGAGCCGGAAACTGCCCATGTCCCATACGAATTCTATTAATCGTTGTAATGTATCTTCTAGATGGTTCTTGTAATTTGAAATACCATGGTTTTCCAAAAATTTCTTTCTGTATATCAGCATACCATTTTCCCTTTATCATTTTGGTTTCTGCCCATTTTCTATTCCAATTACTAAACATCCTTCTGTTAATTAATGCATTGTAGTCAGTTATTGGCACTGGCGATAAATCCAAATGACAATCCAGTTCATTAATCTTCATCATTCTGTCTACAACTTCATTTCCAGTAATACCAGCATGAGATGGAACCCACATGAACTCTATAACTTTGTACAATTTCATGTCATATAAAATTTCTCTTATTAAGTAAATGTATAAATTATCTTTGTAGCTTATTTTATAATTATCTAAGGATGTCAATACACTTAGAGAATCCGTTATTATTAGAAATCGTCTTGAATTTTCTATGTCTTGTACATATTTCAAAGCTTTAAAAATTGCATATGCTTCCGCAGTGAAAACCGATGAATGTTGATCTAGTACATAGCATTGTCCAGTTTTAGTAAAGGAGTCAAAATATGCCGCTTTAGTAGAGTCTTCAGATTTCGATCCATCAGTAAATATTTTTCTGTAATCAGGTTTATATGTTTGGGTGTATATTATAAATTCATTATTATCCATTACTCTCTCCTGTACTATTGTAGGTTTTGTAGTTTGAACATCCAGTGAACCGTAAGACCATTTATCACATTGATACATATTAACAAATTCATTTAATAGTTCATTATCAATTTGTATAATTTTATTATTTTTTAATATATTACTCAGTGTATTATTTGCAAAAATTTTTAAATAATATTTTTCCATCAAATAATTAAGTCTTACATGAATTGGAGGAATGCCAGATTCAATTTCTAAAGAATTAATAGGAGTCGAACACATTGCTCCTGTTATGATTCTAAGACCCTTATTTTGTACTACCTCTATTTTTCTTAATTGAGTATAATTTATGCAATTTCCATAAATAAACAGACCATAATCATAATGACTTCTAACAATGGACTTATACAACATATTTAGTAACTTGGGATCCATACCCCAACTAACACCAGCTAAGTATCTCAAAATATTGACACTTTTATCCATTTTATTCAATATTTTTGTAACATGAGATGAAAATGACATTTTGCTATCAAAAACTATTCCTAAAAATGTTTTTTCATTGACTATATTTATGTTTACATTGTTTATATAATTAATATTTAGATTGTACAAAGAATTACATCTATTAAAGACCATTACGGAACTTTTATAGGGATTAATATCCAGTTTCAATTTAGTTTTATAATATTTGTACAGTTCTCTAAGTCTTAGATTTAGGTCAATTTGTATTTGTAAAATATTTTCTCTAGAAGAATACATAACAATATCATCTGCATATTGCAATATATTTACATTTTTCAAATTTACAAATCGGTGAATTTCCGCAGTATATAGTAAATATATGAGGGGAGACAATGTAGAGCCTTGCATTACACCTTTAAATGCTAATTTCGGACCATAAAGCTTATTATTATATCGAACAAAAACTGTTCTTCCATAAAATAATTTAAATAACCATTCTGAAAATTTACCTGGTATGTTGTATGAATTAAGAATTTGAACGAGAGTTGATAGATCTACATTGTCAAATGCTCCTTGTACATCTAAAAAAACACTAATAAGAGGTAAGTTACATAGCATAGCATTTTTAATATCACCTGTAAATTTTAGAAGACTATCTATTGCACTTTTTCCTTTACAAAAACCATATTGTAATGGAGGTATAATATTTCTAGTTTCTGCGTACATTTCTAATCTATTTTTAACCATATTTTCAAAAATCTTTCCCACACAAGATGACAAAGCAATCGGTCTGTATGATTCAGCTAAAGACGGATCTTTTTCAGGTTTTAAAACAGGTATAATTGCTAGAGTTTTCCAAGAGTCGGGTATTAAATTATGTTCCCATAAATTGTTATATATTTCAAGTAATTTCATTTTACAATTAACATGAAGATTTTTAATAAGTAAATATGGTATGTCATCAAGTCCCGGAGTAGTATCTTTTCTATTGTTCAAAGCAAGAATAAACTCTTCAAAGGTAAATGGTTTTATTAAATGTGTGTTTAAATCATTCATTTTAAAATATCCATTTATATTTTCAACGTTTTCAGTTTCTTTATTAGTGGCAACTTTATTTAAAAAATCATTTACCCAAGAATCATCACCTACTACATTTTTCCGTCTTATACGATTAAATCTTTTAACAAAATTCCAAATTTTTCCTATACTGGTATGTCTATTAAAACTGGAACATAATTCAATCCAACTACTTCTTTTTTGTTCTTTAATAATTAGTTTCTTTTCTGCATCAATTTTTTTGTATACAATATAATTTTCTATTGAAGGATATTTTTTATAATTATACAAAGCAAATCTACTTCTATTTACAGCTTCGATGCATTTTTGATTCCACCAGGGTACAGGTATATGACTTTTAACACAATTCGACTTAGGTTTAATAACTGGTATATATTCAACTTTTAAATTATTAATTATTGTGCAAAATTGTTCGTATGCTAATATAGGATTTTTTATTGAACCAAAATTATTTAGACATTTATAAGATGAATCTGAATAAGAGCTCCAGTCTACTTTTTTATATATAAACCTTTCTGGTTGTTCCACATATTCATAAATTTGTGGTGTTATGTATAAATTAACTAAAGTTGGAAAATGATAGCTGCCCAAAGTATCATCTGACAAAACAGACCAATCGCATAAACCAGCAATAACAGGAGAAGCAAAAGCTACATCAATAGCAGATGGGGCTTGATTCGGACGATTTAATGTGGTACTTTCACCAGTATTTAAAACACATAAATTTATCTCGTCTAGCATATCGTAGATCTGTGTTCCTCTAATTTGATTACTTTGACATCCAAATATAGTGTGATGTGCATTCATATCACCCATGACTAATACCGGAGAAGAAAGAGAAAGAATAATATTTTTTAATAATGTAACAGGGAATCGCCCTCTTCGAGGAGGACAATAACATCCTAAAATATTTAAGAACCCAGAATTTATTTCAACTTTAATTGCAACAGTTTGAATTTTATCATTTGATTGGGTGGTAACATTAGAACATTTTAAAAATTCTTTATAAAAGACGGCAACACCGCCATGACCTTTGTTTACATTGTGATCCCAACGATATACTTTATAACCTCTAATATTTACTGTATCTGTATTTTTTAACCAAGTTTCATTTAAAATCAAGATGTCAATATTATGTTTAGCAAGTAAATGTGTGACTAAAGGAAGCTTTGGTCTTAAACTTTGTATATTATGTTGTACAATATTTAAGGAATCTATAATAACCTTCTGATCCATTATAGATTGATGTTTTTAAGAAATACTTCTTTGATTGTAGAAGTATTAACAGGTAAGTTAGTGTCTTTTTTTGAAAGGGAAGTTAATGTTTGTACTAAAGCTGTTAAAATTAAATCGTTATTGATAACTTCTGAAATAAAATCTTTCTCTTTTCTCTTAGGTGTGTAACTTTGAGCTGCTTTAGCAAAACTCGAGTTCAGATTAGGAAAATGTGAACTTAGGGTACTGTTTTTGTTTATAATTTTTTCTTTATTTTCAAGTATTTTTTGAATTTTAACTGGACAAAGTCTGGAAACTGCGGTATGGTTTCCTTTACAATTTACACAGATAGGATTCTCAACATTAGTACATTCTTTATAATTATGACCTTCTGTACAAATTGAGCAAACCATATCTCGTTTACAGAACTTTGTAGTGTGTCCAAATTTCATGCACTTATAACATTGCATTACAGGTTTTATATATGGTTCGACTTTAAATTTACATAGCTCGTACGTTACATTTTCTGGCAAAATGTTACCTGCAAATGTTATAGAGACAGTCTGAAGTGGAATCATTCCACTATCGGACCGTTTCATAAATCGCCTCACTGAAAGTATTTCCTGTTGAGAAGATAATATATTAAATAAATGCTTGTTACTGAGATCAGTGGGAACAAACTTTACAACACCAGTACATTCAGTTGTCGATGCGGGGATGAATGCTTTTAATTCTTGAACATTTAAAAAGGTTGAATCACGTAATAGTGAATTTGCATTTTTTGCATTGTCAAATATTACGGCATATTTTAGTGCATTTACTCGTCTCAATTCCTTGACTCCTTTTACATATCTACTGAATAAATTATTTAAGTAAACTGGACTTTTATTACCAAATTTAACCTCTTCTTTAATGCTTTGTATAAATACAGTAAATGTTGTGTTTGGTGAATTTTCTTGATAACTCCTTATATAATTAGGTTTTAAATAAGGCGCATAAAATGTAGGGTC